GAGACCCATGTGCCTGTTCAAATTTCATGGCCAGGGGCATTAACTTGGCATGGATCCCTAACTTTAGTACTGTATGGAGATTGATTAAGCATCTGGTGCAACCTGAGTCAATTAGGACATTTAAATCTGCTTGGACACCCATCTTGAGTACTATGATTTTGGCGGAGATCGCGAAAGGTGGGATGGGTTGACTTACTATTGGGTCATCTTCTCCCTCCTCATTGCTGTTATAAGGAGCTGGAACCACCTCAGCTGGGCTCCTGGGCTTGCAGGCACCGGTCTCGCTTGGGACTTCACCTAGGTGCCGGGCTTGATGCTGAAGCTGGCCGAGGTTGTAGGGAAGCTGCCCTGGCCATTGCGACTGGGATTGGGCTCCGACGAGGTGGCAGGAGTGTTGGTGAGTGTCTAGTGTCCCGTCCGGCAGAGATCACAGAGTGAGCAATCAGCTCCATCTCCCCAACCTCGAGCCAGTCAAACCTCTCTCTCAGTCTCTCAACTGAGTGGCTGTGGATGGCTATCTACTATCCCGGCATCATCCAGGTTAACAGGGGCATAGCAATTTAGGTGAGTCCATACCTGGTTCAAGAAGAAGGACAACCTCTCAGGATCTCCATCAAATGTGGGTTCGATAGGAGGCAGGTCTACCGTCTGTTGCCCCAGTATTCTGGGCAGTAAGCTAGCCAATGATACTGGGGTCATAGAGGTGATACCCTGGCTGGGCTCCTGGGCTTGCGGGGTGCCAGCCTCACTTGGGACTTCGCCTGGGTGCCAGGCTTGATGCTGAAGCTGGCCAAGGTCAAAAGGAAGCTGCCCTGGCCATCGCGACTGGGCTTGGGCTCTGATAAGGAGGCAGGAGTGTCGGTGAGTGTTTAGTGGAGATCACAGAGTGAGCAATTGGCTCCATCTCCCCAACCTTGAGCTGGTCAAAGTTCTCTCTCAATCTCTTGACTGAGTGGCTGTGGATGGCTGCAGGTATCTCCACTCTCCGGAATCATCCCATCCAGCTGGCCTTTTCACCTTCCTCAGTGCAGGTGATCGAAGGGTGTAGGATGAAATCAGAGGGAATTCTGCCTTGGCAGCCTTGGGGGTGCTTTGTCGCTGGGGAGCTGCCTCATAGTGGCCAGCTCCTCGAGGGTCAGGATCCCTTCTTGCTGTCCCAATTTATCAGGTGGAATCATGTGGGTTTTTGGTCTAGCTCCCGCCATAGAAGCCTTGCTCTCCGCTCTCCACTTGAGCAGTAGCCTGTGCTCCGGCAGCCGGAGCCACGCTGAGGCCAGCGGCCAATTCTCCCTTCTTCTCCATCACCGCTTCTCCCCTGAGTGTTTGCCGTCCTCCCAAAAGTAGTGCGTAGGTGACTGGGGCTCAGGACACCAAGGCAAAACATTTTAGGAGAATTGGTTTAATATCATGAGGCTTCCACAAAGAACATGTTTATTGGTTAAAAATATCAGCACAATCAAAAGTGAAACCAAGTCTGAAATTTTCTCCAAAGAGTTAGACTATTACAAAGTTAAACTTCCCATCCCAATACTAGGAAATCAACTACATTTCCCAATAGAATAGTTTGGCGGACTTTCTAACAGAAAACCCAAACCCCCAATCCGACCGTTTGAAATGACCTTGGTTCCCACAGGACAGAGAATTGTTTAGACTATCAAAAAAACCACCACTTCCCTCCTTCCATGCTTATGGCAACCTAGAATGAGCAAGATGGCTTCAGCCAGGTTCGTTGTAGAGTTGACACTATTTCTATTTGCAGGTCTTTGTATTTTGTTATCTTCTCCAGTTCTTCTATTCTGCTATCTTCAGGTACTGCCACATCCACTATCCAGTTTTGTTACATTTTTTGTCTTTCTTAACAATTATTAAGTCTTAGATGTTATGTGGCAGGTACTTGCCTGTTTGAATTCTAAAGTCTAAGAGCACTTTAGCTTCTTCATTTTCTGTTACTTTCTCCATTTTATGATACCACCAGTTCTTGCTTGCAGGCCAATGGTATTCTTACAGATCTTCCAATGCACTGTTGTTGCTACTTTGTCATGCTGTTATTTGTAGTTAATCTATGTGAAATTCTTGCAGCAGCTAACGAGGTGGTCCACTGTTTCTTCAGCTTCTTTTCAGAGATAGCATTTGCTGTCTGTTGCTGTCTTCTTAATTCTTGCTTTATAGGTTCTTAAGGTTGATTTTGTGCAGCCAAAATTAGGCCCCCATTTCTTTCTTTGGTTTCCCTGTTCATAGCCATTGCCAGGTCTTGTTCTTATATACTTTGTCTGCTTCTTTTTAATGTACTGGACAGGTAACTCTTTGCCTTGCCATGTCTCTTTCCTAGTCTTCATTTGGTCTTTTTTGTAGCCAGTTTGTTTTCTCTACAACTCAGTGCATCTTTTTCATTTTATTCAGATATTCTTCCAATGCCCCTTTTCCTTCTTCAGCCATCTAGTATACTTGCAGCATTCTACACTCACCTATTTTCTTGATACTGCAGAGTCTGTCAATGTCACTGTGAGAATGCAGGGCATAATTCATTGTCATTATTTTTCTGGTCTTCCTAGCCATGGCTTTTAGTTCTGCTTGAATCCAATCCACTGTTCCAAGCGTGTGTATTAAATGATTGGCATTGCCCAGGTGTTGATTGCCTTGAAGGTATTTCCTCCACTGAATTTAGGCTTTAAAATCTTCACTCTCTTGATGTATTCTCTTCTGATATTTTTCTTAATTTCAGTGTGCTTGAAAGATGCTCAGCTTGAAAGATGCCCAGGTATTTGTAGTGATCATCGTCTGCCAGACTCTTGATGTTGTTTCTATAGGGCATCTTGATTCCCTCAGTTTTCACCATTTTCCCCCTGTTGGTGGTGAGAGTGAAACATTAGTTGAGCCCAAATTCCATTCCAATGTCTTGATCTTACAAATGGACAGAATTGAATAATGATTCTATTTCAGATAGTGCTTTTCCATTCAGCTTCATATCATCCATGTAAAGGAGATGGGATAGTCTGGCAAATATTTTGGATGTTTGATAACTATGCCCTAAATTTTTCAGTATAGTTGACAGGAGAATCAGTGCAATAACAAACTTGAAAGATTCCTTTCTTGATATTATTATCACAGTTGGTTGCACAATCAGCTAGACCAGGGGTGTCAAACTCAATTTCATTGAGGGCTGCATCAGCATTGTGGTTGCCCTCGGGGGGCCGAGTGGGTGTGGCCTACTGGGTTGGCATGGCCAGCTCTACATCGTTCGCATCAAGGGTGCCTGTGGGGGCCTGGGCAGGAGTGGGACAGATCTGAGGGTCTCTGGGAGAAGGGGGTGGGACCAGGGCAAGTGCATGGTCCACTGGAGGAGTCTCACTGCCTGCCGAAACCCCTCCCCCGGAGCCCATCAAGCCCGATATGTGAAGTAGGCGAGGGCCATTTGCTGGCCAGTTCCAGGCAATGGTGCATGTCTTCATTCCTCACAAAGGGTGACACCTCCCCCGCATGCACCCAGGGGGCGGGGCCAATGCAGCAGGGGCCGATCCCTTGCTGTTTCCAGACGGCCTTGTGGAGCTAAGATTGAATGCGTTTCAGCATAGATGGCCACCACAAAATTATACATTTGCTCCTGGCTGGCCTGGGCCAGAGCCAAGGCAGTGGTGGCCATTCCCTCACTGTTTCCAGGATGGCTTCGCGGGCCACATGAAACCACTACGCGGGCCGCATCCGGTCCCCGGGCCTTGTGTTTGACATGTCTGAGCTAGACAATTAGACTGGATTTGGCAGTTTTATTTACTGTTGTGTCCCTCCCAAGGAGCTGGGATAAGTAGAAGTTGTTTGATGGTGTTAAGGATTTCATTGCACAATGTAAGCTGTTCCAAGGAAAATTGCCCTTTGCAATTGTTATTATTTTGGTTTGCCACACAGTCAACTTATTGTTATAAAAAAAAACCTACACTCCATGCATCTGATTAAGTCAGCTCAAAGTCATGAAAGGGTATACAACATTACATCTGTTCATCCTTAAGGTAGTAGCCCTAAAATCTTTGCAAGATAGATTATTAAAGCTACACCTCTGGAAATTTGAATGTGACACAGGTTGTTGTGTGTCTACACCTCAGCTTCAAAGATACATTGAAAATTTTTGAATTTTTAGATATGAAATATAAGAATACAGTCTCCATCCCTTTTCCAAGTTGGTCTAATATGATAGTTAATTGTTCATTCCTGTTTTTCTCTTCTGTTTATGTGATACTTGACACAAAAATATTTTTAAAAAAGATCCAAAACAAAACATTAGACAAACAAGAGAGGTAAAAACCTCTACAAAGTAATACGAAAAAAGAAACAACCAAATGCAGTGGCAGCTTATGCAAATGGAGACTTTTTAATTTAGATTCCTGGCTGCTTAATTTTCTTCTGAAAGGAATTATGAAATGTATAGATATGAGTGGAAGTCAAAATCATGATTGTTTCAAAGTATGACCTATGTGGTCATTATAAACTCAGGACATGAAAAGGTACTAGTAAAAATATAACACACAAATGAAATTCCTCTGGATACCTAATTGTATACACATTCTTATACATACATTCACATCACAATCATGCCAAAAGTTATAGCTCTTACATTTCGGGAGGAATCCTTTTTCTTTGGACTGAAAGCTGTTAATATATTGTCTTGCTATGACAGATGACACCAAGAACATATACAGGAGGAACATTTTGTTCTTTTGAAAAGAAGCACGCACTATTTTATACTGTAGAATAAATGCCCTATTCAAAGGAGTTTCATAAACTCAGTGCTCCATTTTACTTTACACACAAGGTGGTGCTATTGCACCAAACAGTAAAAAGAGAGATTCATTTATTTCAGGATGATCTAGTCATTAGACAAAGGAATCTCAGAACAAAAGGCAACAGCTCTCAACTTAAATCTTGAGAAATTTCCGAAGAAAATATTCCAGCATGAATACCAAAAAATAACTCCTGCTGGATTCTGATAACAACTATAAAAGAAATTGTAGGAGCTGCTTTACGAAGAGTCATATTCCCAGAGAAAGGCTGAGAAAATGGAAGTATCTCCTCCTAGCAGGCAAGTGGTCTTGTTTTTTATTTCTCTATGTAGCTCTGGTATGTTGTGTGAACCGTTCCGCTATTCAGTGCCTGAGGAGAAGAAAGCTGGATCAATAGTAGCAAATGTGCTAAAAGATTTGAAGGTAGATGTGAAGGAGCTCTCTGCTCGCAGAGCACAGTTGATTTCTAAGAGTTCCAGGCAGGATTTCCAGCTGGATCCTCACTCTGGGAATATAATATTAAGGGATAAAATTGACCGAGAAGCTTTGTGTGGTCTGACTGATCTTTGCACTCTATTCTCTGAAATTTTGCTGGAAAATCCTTTGCAAGTGTTCACAATTGAAGTTCAAGTAGAAGATGTCAATGATAATTCCCCTACATTCTCTCAGAATCAATTCCTTTTTGAAATACCTGAACAGACCCCCATAAATGTGCATTTCCCTTTGGAGACAGCCCATGATTTAGACAAAGGGGAAAATGCTATCCAGAACTACATAATAAACACAAGTGAATATTTTAAGCTGGATGTGCAAAGTCAAAACGATGGCAGCAAATATGCAGAACTGCTTTTGGCAAAACCATTAGACCGCGAGGTGATCCCTCAGTTTATCTTCACTCTGGAAGCTGTGGATGGAGGGATCCCAAGGAGGACTGGCACAGCACAGATAATTATTGATATTCTGGATACAAATGATAATGTGCCCCAATTTGAACAAGCAGTCTATAAAGTGCAGTTGATGGAAAGTAGTCATCCAGGCTCATTGGTTGCTAAAGTTGAAGCCACCGACAAAGATATTGGATCCAATGCTCGCATCATTTACACTTTTAGCCAAGCACCAGCAGATGTGCTTCGATCATTCAGCTTAAACAACCATACTGGGGAAATTACGCTTGTACGGAAAATTGATTATGAAATAAACAGTAAATATCAACTCAGTATCAAAGCCACAGATGGAGGAGGACTCTCCACTTACTGTAAAGTTCTTGTTGACATTGAAGATGAGAATGACAATGCCCCAGAAATAGTTGTATCATCCATCACTAATCCTTTACCAGAGAATTCTTCCCCGGAAACGCTGGTGGTACTTTTTGGCATCAGAGATCAAGACTCTGGAGACAATGGCAGAACTACCTGCAACACTGATAAAAACCTGCCTTTTATATTAAAACTGACTGAGAACAATTATTACCAGCTTGTGACTCAACAGCCACTGGACAGAGAACAAATGTCACAATATAACATCACCATCACAGCCACTGACCAAGGTTCTCCCAGACTCACTTCAATGACAGTTATTAGCATTCAACTTTCAGACGTCAATGATAACCCTCCAATGTTTGAAAGATCTTTCTACGATTTGCACTTGAGAGAAAACAACATTCCAGGACTGCTCATTGGATCAGTCCATGCTGTGGATGTGGACATAGAACAAAATGCCAAACTGACCTATTGGCTTTTGCCTGGGAAAATCAGGGATATCCCCGCATCATCTTACATCTCCATCAACTCCGAAACCGGGAACCTGTATGCCATCCGATCTGTGGATTATGAGGATATACAAGATTTCCAGGTGATGGTGAGGGCTGTAGACAAGGGCTCGCCTCCACTGAGCTCAGAAACCATGGTCCGAGTTCTCATCAGAGATGAGAATGACAACGCCCCCTTCGTCCTCTGCCCCCTTCAGAACAGCACCTCTCCATCAAAGGAGCTGGTTCCCAGGGGAGCAGAGACAGGCTACCTGGTCACCAAAGTGGTGGCAACGGACAGGGATTCAGGGCAGAATTCTTGGCTTTCCTATCAATTGCTGAAGGCCACAGATCCGAGTCTCTTCGCTGTTGGGACTCAGAATGGGGAAGTGAAAACCATGAGGCCGGTGAACAACCGAGACAGTTTCAAACACACTCTTATTGTGGCAGTTAGGGATAATGGGCATCCACCTCAGTCTGTCTCTGCGACCCTAAGAATTCTTCTAGTGGACGGCTTTTCTGATCCGTACATGAAAATTATGGATAATCCTAAGGGTGAAGTCCCGCAGGAGGAAGATCATACTCTAACCATGTATTTGATTATTTGCTTGGTTGCCATCTCATCCATTTTTCTGCTTTCTGTCATGGTGTTTATTGCCACCAAGTTTCAGAAGCGAAGGAAGTTCACAGGAAGTTCTCATTCTGCATCTAATTTCCCCGTGGGACCAAGTTCACAAGACAAGTGTGTGGATCCTAATACTGGAACACCTTCCCAGGCCTTCAGCTATGAGGTATGCTTAGCTGATGGATCTCTGAGCAGTGAGTTCAAGTTCCTTAGGCCTTTCTTTCCTGTTTTTACTATGGAGCATCGAAAAACTCTGCTGAATCCACAGATTAGAAATGATTGCCGTGATCTTCCTAACCAATTGGAGGAACGAGAGGATATATCCCAGGTGAGTATAATCTGTTAATGAAGAAGTGTATGTTTAGAACATTGACTAATAGAGTTGAAAGGGACCTCGGAGGTCTTCTAGTCCAGAGGTCCCCAACTTTTTGGGCACCAGGGACCGGTTCCGTGCAGAAAGGTTTTTCCACCAACCAGAGAATGTGTGGTTTTGTGTGCTGCCTGTCTCCCATGGATGGCGCTTTGCTTATTTGTGTGGACCGGTTGCTGGCATGCTGCGGCCCGATGCCAGTCCATGGACTGGGCTTTGGGGACCCCTGTTCTAGTCCAACCCCCTGTTTGAGCAGGAGACCCTATATCATTTCAGACAAATGGTTATCCTGTCTCTTTTTGAAAGCCTCTAGTGATAGAAAACCCACAACTTCTGAAGACAAATATTCCATTGGTCGATTGCTCTCACCGTTAGGAAATTTTTCCTTAGTTCTAGGGTGCTTCTCTCCTTGGTTAATGTCCATCCATTGTTTTGTTTCTTGCCTTTTGGTGTTTTGTAAAATAGTTTGACCCTGTTATCTTTGTAGGAGCCCCTCAAATATTGGAACGCTGCTATCATGTCATTAACTTGCTTCTATTCCAGTCTTTAACAGATAGATAACTCAGAAGAACAAACAGAGATAATTGCTTTATTC